GAGCAATGGTCTCAAGTTGCAGCAAGGGAACTTTAAGTTGGATATTAGGAAAAACTCCCACTATGAAGGTGGCGAAGCACTAGAATAGGTTACCTAGAAGGGTGGTGAAATCTCCATCCTTGGAGGTTTTTAAGGTCTGTCTTGACAAAGCCCAGGGTGGAATGATCTAGCTGGGGATGATCCTGCTTTGACCAGGGGGTTGGACTAGATGACCTCCTGAGCTAGGGACAGACATTACACAAACTGGTTTAAGTGATCAGAAACCGAGTTGTAACAGAACAGATGTTCTGTGCACATAAACCAGTTGAAAAATGGCTGCAACTGGTTTGACATAGACCTGGTTGAATGTAGCATCAGACTTAACTGATTTGCATCAAACCGATTTATGCAATGTCTGTCCCAAACCCATTGCTAGTTTAAAGATAAACCAAACTCTCAGCATCCCAACATGCTTTTTGGGTGAGGTGGAGCTCTCTGCTCCAGAGAGCTGGACTAGCTCCTCCCCTCTGCTCCCAGGCCAGAGCTCCAGCAGAGTCTTTCAGGCACAGAGCACCTGCCTGGCTTCTCCCTGCTAAGCAGGGATTATTCCCCGTACCCTCCTGCCTTATGCAGACACCTCAGCATTATGTAGCAGACCACATGTTGGCTACAGTCCATGCTGTGGGAGACGACAAAGGCAGACAGGCTTTTTGGAGATAAATCAACAGGTAGCTTAATGACCTTCCTTGGAAAAGCTCTTTAAAAAGAGCTTGAGCTAATGGAGAAAGGCTTTGTTTTCTTAATGGGTTGATAAACACTGAGTTAGGGGTGATAAACATTCCCTGCTGGGCTGCTCAGAATGGGGGGCATAGTAAGGGCATAATAAGAATGTCCTGCCCAGCCTGGCCACACCCCACTCAGCTCAGCACTATGGAAGGGAAGGGAGGGCTGCTTTAGCACCCACCAGCTTCTAGCCAGAGCCACTGCAGGCATGTGCCTGAATTTTTTCAGTTCAGAGGGGACGTCTGTACAGTTACATACTGGTTTATCCTAGCCAGGTTAGACTAACCTGCAAAGACTGAATCAATTCAGGCTTGGGCTTTTTGTATGTCTGTCCCTAGCCCTGATGTCCCTTCCAACCCTAATTTTCTATGATAAATTCATTGCCCCTCACCACCAGAGTGGGGCAAGAAACAGCAGCAGGGGAGTTAAGTGGCCTAACCCCTGCCCCTTACTGCCAGTTATATCTCAACAGCCTAACAGTTGTCCCACTACCTGCCTGCATGCCCCACCTGCCCCGTGCACTTGCCCTGCTAGTGCCTGCCACTAGCAGTGGTGCTTGCACCCCTGTGTACCTCCCCAATACTACTTTACCTCTGCTGCCTCTCCCTCCTCACTTGGTTCCCCCTGCCATCTGCTTCTTCTCAGCACTGCTTACCTTTCCCTTGCAGCTCCAAAGTCAGGGCTGAAGCTACCACTGTTGCAACAGCTGCTGCATGGCTGGATTGGAGCTGGAGCTGTGAGGGGAAGGTAGGTGGTTGCAGTACACAAACGGTGGAGAGAGCAGAGGCTGTGGCTCCATCTCTGATCCTGGGCTGGGGTCAGAGTCTGAGTCAGTGCCCACCCCCCCAGTGATGAATGGGGGGTTGGGGAGGAAATCTCATCTCAGATTTGAGTAAATATGGTAATAAACCTTTGGAAACCTATATGGGATTGTGACATTAATAATCCACCATCTGAGTAAAGCAAGAATGGAATAGAATTATTTATTATGGGTACATGGAATGGACTCCCTGTTAGCATGTTTTGGATCAAACTTGCTTGCTCACTCAACTACACAGTCTTGTCATACCCGTGTCCTAGTTGGGAAACTACTACACAGGGCACCGCCGATCCCATAACACATCCTAGATGCTGTATTTGAGTAATAAACAATGATTAATTGTAAGAGGGGTTTGTCAATTGAGGTTTCTGCCAGTTTCTTCCATAATTTTAAACTGGTCTAAGAAATCAAGAAACTCCCTTTAGATCTATGAAAGCTACAAATGATTGTGTCTTTTCACATATGTTAATACCAGATAAGACAACACTAAACAATGGTCCAGACTAGAACAGCCTTCTTTTCTTCCACAACGTTGTTTTCATAGATACATGTATGTAGATGAAAAAATTTCTTCCAAATATTTTGACTGGGATACACATAAGAGGAATGGGACAATAAATTACAGAATTTCTCATCACCTTTTCTTTAAATAAAATTAAGACTCTAATTTTCTCTCCAATGCTTAGAATAGACACCTTCTAAACATTTTGTACTTCTGGATCTATAATGCAAAATACTTAAGATCAATCAGTCTCAAGTGATTTGTTAGCTATGGCAGCAACTTTACTCCATATTTAAAAGAAAAAAAAGTCAAACTGCTTAGAGCTCTATTCATGTTGAATTACAAATCAAGACAAAAGCCAATTTTTTTAACCCATTCTAACAAGGTAAGTGTGGTACTGCTTATTGTAGATATAGGTAGTACACAGCGTCTCAGCTATGGTATGAAGCTTCCACTACTAGAAATTTCTTCAGAAAGGTGAAACGAGAGAGAGACTGGTCTGTTTTTCCTGATAACTGAAAATGAGGAACGTTAGATCTATAAAAATATATTTGTAAAAAATTGTCCATTTTCTTGGTTACTGTTACTAGCAGCAGTCCTGCATCATTGTGAAGGTGCTTTCCTTAGCACAAAAAAGAGTGAAATAGTGTTAAGGTTCAAGGAAAACAACCAAAACACAAACCAGTAGTTCGTGCTTTTTTTTTTTTTTTTTTTTTTTTAAACACTGTTTAGGGATGTTACCTGCTTTCCAGCTCTACCACTCCAGAGAATAGATACAGCTCGAAAGGCAACAATTATATTGTTTCCTCTTCAAATCTAAGCCTTATTTTATGGTACTGGGGAGACAGAATCCCTTGGAAACTTTGGGTGAAACCCTAACTCTTCTATACGAGTTTGAGCTTTGACTCAAAGGGCCAGGATGTCAACCCCTTTGTCAGTAAAATTAGGACAGACTTTGTTTTGAAACATAAATCTGAAAAAATGCAAAGCATCCAAGACAGACATTCAAGAAGAAAAAGGCAAACAGTGAGTTAATGGTCAGGCCGATTAGTTTTGTTCTTCCTCCTCAAAAAAGGAAAATGCTTGGAACAGGAGTCAGCAACATTTTTGGGCCAAGGGCCAAACACTCGCAACCTCTATTTGGAAGATGATGGCATACCAAGGGGGAATGGCAGGGGAGCACTAGGGGCCAGATCGTTGTTGTGGAAGCACAGGCCACGCCCCTTCCCCACCATTTAACTGGAGGCTCATGTGCACCTGGCACCAGCAACGGGCCGGGCTGGGGCTCTGTGGACCCCAGTGCTGTTGCTTGCAGCATTCCTGCCACCTGCTGCAAGCAGCCCATGTTCCATGGTGGCCAGCAGGGACTGCCCAGAGCTTGGTCTGCTTGTGGCCCACAGAGTCCCATCTCAGCTCTTTACCAGTGGCAGGTGCACAAGTGCCTCAGGGCAGACAATGGGGAAGGGGCTGGAGCTGTGGTTGTACTGCCACAACAAGGATCAGGGCCCTTGCTGCTCCCCAACCATCCACCCTGAGGCACGTGTGCGCCACCAATGAGCCAGGACAGGACTTAGTGGATCCTGATGTAGCTGTTTGCAGCCTGCCAGCTGCCTGCCACAGCCAGCCCAGGCTCTGGGCAGGCCCCTGACACCCACCATGGAGCCCAGGCTGCTCACAGCAGATGGCAGGGGGTGGGACTTCTAGTCCCAATATAGCAACTAGAGAGCAGGGCAAAGGTCAAAGGGCAGGGCTACCCATGTGGCCCTTGACAGCTCACCAGAATTCGTTAAGCAACCTTCTAGCCAAAATAATTGCCTGCCCCTGACCTAACTTGTTTCCAAATACCTCGTCAGTGTCATGGTTTTATCATTGGCCTGATGAAGAATGCCTTGCATTAGAAAGCTTGTCTAATTCTAAACCAACTGCACAGCTGGTCCAATGAAAGATATCATCCTACAAACATTTTGCCTTTTGCGTGGTTTTATAAAGTTATTTTCTTGTTTCTTCAAGGGATGCCTCTTACATGGCAGGGACAGATCCAGGGAGGTTACAGTGGTGCAGTGCCCCTCCCCCCACTTTTGATTCCTGCTCCACCCAAACTTCAAAATTAACTGCTTGGGAGGGGCAGTCGCATTTCTATTCTTGCCACACTAATGGAAGTCGATTGACTTCATGGCTGAATATCATCATCTCTGCTTCCTGCCAATCTCTTTCCACTCCACAAGTGTTAAAAACCTCATCTCCTTTTTAAGGGTCTGGATGTTTCATTATTCAAACTTTCCTTTTTTCTGCAATTTTGATGTTTATAAGCCATTCCTGGTAATGCATCTTGTCTGTTTCACAGCCCTACACAATGTTTTCAATCATTCCATTTGTTTTTGCTTTGCTCAAACTCAAACTGAATAATATAGCCTTAGCCACCTACCACATTAGTAAATAAAGCTTCCAGTTTCTCTAATTGGAAACAAATGTACTATAGTATATTCAATGTGCCACACAATGTGCACCCTCTTTTCAAATCTTAGGCCTATGTGAATGTACGAGACAACTGATTTACTGTGCAAGAGAAAATAACTCAAGTTTGACTGTACACAAAATGCAAAATGGACCAAACAAAGCAATTCTCTTATCTTCCAGATTTGAAATTTTTGGTGTTATCTGAAAGAGCAGAAAGAGAAAAGAAAGCCAACTCATTAAAAACTTACTTTTTTGAAGTTGTACCAGAAATTCCAAGATCTAAAAATTAAGAAGGAAATAGAAAGTCACTTGTTTGTAATATTAAGTACAAGCAATCTCCAAATGCTTCTAACAACATAGATCTGTGCAACAGCAAAACTGGTCCAACAGCACAGTCTTAGGAATAGTTTTCTTTGATATGCCATCTCAGTGAGAAAAGTGAGCCTGACTACAGAAATATCACACCTTTATGCAAATACGTTTCTTAATGAACTTAGAACATGACACACACACACACAGATGACTAAAGTGCCAGTACCTCATGGTTTCCTCAGAAAAGTAGAATAACACGTTATAACAAGGAAGGTAAGTAGAATTACTTTTTATGCATGTTATAAACTACGACTTAAAAACCAGAACATAAGTTTCAAAAATAAGGTGTGGGTTAACAAAGCAAGTAGGTTAACAGTACTATTTTTTCAAGTAAAAATCTTTTCAGTTTGTTTGTATTCTAGACCATTACTTATGGGCACTCAAAAGGCTCTATTCTTTCAGCAATGAAAATAAAAAAAGAGTTAAAAAAATCGCAATCATCTAAATGATTTGAGTTCTAAAGAGTAGATTTTTTCCTTATATGTCAAAATTCTTGTGACTCAAATTCTGCACTACACTTGGATGACTTGAATTTGACTCACAGGGTTATTTTCAATTTTACATATAGAAAAATTCCAGCTCATCTCAGTCAGGATATTGTTTTCAAAGTTGACAGAAAAAAAGGTGTCTACTTGTAACAGTATTATGTTTTATGTGATGCCAGCTGCAGATACATTACAGTGATATGCTATAGTCATTCTTCAGACCAGAAAAATGGCAGAGTGGTTTGATGGTTGATGCCAGAGAGGGTATGATGGGATGGATCACCATAGATATGCCCTATTCATATACTCTTCCCCTAAAGCATACTACTAATTTGAGACAGGATACTGGACCAATCAGACCACTGGTATGATCCAGTATGGTGTTTATATTCTCAGAACACTTTAATGATATTGTCTGACCATAGATTTTTAAGCGTCTGTTTTGCCAAGCTCTCATCTTACTCCCTGCTGTTCTTCTCCCCAGTATCTGTCCTAACATATGCTCTGCAAAACAAATAATGCCCCAGATTTTGCAATAAGCATCCAGGTGAACTTGCAAAAAACATGTGCTGGAGTAGGTGTGTATGTGGAGAAGGAAAGCCATGTTTTTCAGCTTTCACTTAACAAGGCAGAATTTAATTGTTTCCTCACTAAACCTGAATAAAGAGCTCTTATTACATCTATCCACATAACAGGTCTGCTATTGTGGCCATCATTTATACCAACCTACACATCTCTAGAACTGCAAGTTTCATTTTTACACATTTATGAATCAGTCTTTTAAGAACTAAAGGAAGTTACCTTTTATTTCAAGACGCACATTTTTGTTGCCTTCTCTCTCGAAAAATATGGCTACAAACAAATAGCTTAATCCTACAGGAGTTTAATATGAAGGATAATCAACACTGCAAGAAATCAAAAACAACTGCACTACTTACTGCCTACTAAACTTGCAAGAGATGAATCAAGATCACTTCCAAGGCCTTTGGTTGCTGCTGAAGAGGGGGAAGGTGCTGCAGCAGTAGCTGCTATGGACTGACCAGAGGGAACCATAGTTGGCATAAGAAGATCACCTAAACCATCGAACACTGGAATTTAAAGAGGCAGTATTTTATTGCATTGATCTTTAAAAACAGTCAGAAAAATTAAAAACCATTACCTTGAGTGGTCATCATAGCACAGACAGTCACTACACAGGTATTGCCAATGCATAATTTGGAATTAGAGTAATGCCAACAAAGGCATGCATGTTTTATTTTTTAAAACAGTGAAATATAAAAGTAATCCTGAACTAGAAATACACCAAATAGAACTAGGACAAGGAAATCCATGCCCACCTAGTCAAATAAATGCATAAACTGAAAAGTTGAATCTATAGAGACATTAAAAAAAAAAACAAAGCCAAACACTCCCTCCCCCTCTCCCCCCCAAAAAGAAAACTAAACGAAAAAAACCCACATTGTTCCTAAAGAAAGTCTTCTTAGAAAAAAATGACGTCTCAAAAAAGTTAGATTCAAATAATAAGTTTGGGAAGACACTAGTTTTAAGGATTACAAAAAGCCTAACTATCTTAACAGTAAAGTTAGAATTGCTGTTGCAAAGTTATCAGGTAACTAAGATTTGAAATTATTTTGGTTCTGATATTTCCCTCACCAAATGTAAATACTAGGTTCATACTTTTAAGGAAGCCTACTGTTGTTCACTGACCAAGCTACATTAAGCACTAGTTACTAGCTGCCCGACCAACTTGTTTCTCCTGGCCCATCATTCACCCTTACTAGGGCTCTTATTTGAAAGAGGTGCAACCCTGAGGCCATCTGCCATGGTATCATGACCCTGTTTGGAACAACTAGCTTAAAGAATTAGAAGAATCTATCACTGGAACTCCATATCCACATTTACAGGTCGAGCCTCTCCTGCTCTCCTGTTCTCTCCCAGAACAAGTTTTACAGATCACAATTCAAATTACTTCATTTGCCTTACCCCTAGTTCTTTTAGCCTGCAGTGGTAGAATCAATCCAATATTCTGATCTATATTTGATTAGTGCCAACATTAATTCAAAAGGGGGGGCAAGGATGGCATATGCGCATTGGCAAGCAACCAAATAATCAAGCAGCAGTACTACTTAGTTTTATCTTTCAGTTATTTAGTTGCAGAACTCACCAATTGTAAATGTGTAGCAAGGACCCAGCATGGAAAAGTATAGAAGAATGAAAAAGATACAAACAAAATGACAGCAGTGATGAAAGGTTAAAGCTTTGTCAAGCAAAGAACACTCCCTGGACTCAATTTTGCATAATTTCAGGTGCCATGCAAGCTTAAGAACAGCTTCAGCAACAGCAGCAAGACCACAGATCTAAATATAGGCTATTATTTACAAAGTGTGCATTTTCCTTTCGATAATGCCTAACAATCATGCAGAAAAAGCACATGAAAAGAGATGATGTGCACAGTTAAATTTGCTGATCTATTTCTGATCTGAAAACAGAAAATAATGGATACAGAGAGTTCCTAGAGCTATCACTGCTGGTAAGTGCCCACTGTACTAATCCTTGTATTTATCTTTCAGTGGAAGGTAAGATAAGGGTATCAATCTTTCTTGATATTTTTGTATAAACTTCACATGAAGCAGAGCTGTCATTTACTTTTGATGGCGAGTATACATGTTTATTATGAATAGGTACAAGTAAAAAACTAGCCCACCCCCCAAACACAACTTTACCTGATGCATCAAATGAGCTGCCAGCAGTTGAAGTTGAAGATGATGTTCCAAAAGCTGCATCAAAGTTGGGCTGTAATAAGTTGGTTTGAGCTGGAGTAACTGGAGATGGTGATGGAGAGGGAGCAATGAAAGAACCTCCAAAACCTTAAGACAGACACAGAAAGGTAAAAGAATATACATTAGGTACAAAATAAAAGCCTCGACAAGATGAAGCTTTAAAAGCCAAGTGTAATATTTACCTTATAGTTTGATATTAGATCATTAATAACCGAGTTTAAATTTCATAAGTTCAGTTGTTAAAGTTGTTGCAGAAGTCATAATGTACACTAAAAACTTTTTAAAAATCATTTTACCTACAGAGTTAAAAATTAGGCCACTTCTGGGTAAGGCACAGCAGTTTAAAACACTGAACACTGTCAGCATACCATGTACAGCAGGCAGTTAATTATACCAATACCTCAGAAGGGAAGTTTGTAGGTAGGCAGAAAACAATTACTGGAATTTGTTCAGGGCACAGAGACCACCTCTAAATGAAACAATTGTTCAAAGCTACAAGCAGTCAGGAGCTCCATAAGCGGTCTTACCTTCCAGTGGGTCATAAGAACAATCTGAACCATCTACCAACTGAACAACTATCCCAAAGCAATACTTGCAAGAGCACCTGCATTTCCTTTGGAAGTCTTCCAAATTCTCACCTGGACTGACCCTCTGTTTTAGGATGCTATTTTTAATGCACTTACCTTTAAGTTTCTAGGCTTTGAAAGTCTCATTTGTTTTAGATTTTGAAATGGCCTATGAAATTAATATGAATTTGTCAGTCCAGAGCTCAGACCCTGATTGTGTCAGCTGAGCATACCTCTTCCGACATTCAAGACAGTCAATTCTGTAAGATTATCCAGTTCCATATATTGTTCAAGTTTCCCTTGTGTGCATGCATGTATACAACACTGGGTAAACTAGACAGAGGAAACAAAATTCAATAAAGCCTACCCTCCCTCCTGAGCTTAGAATTTTTCACGAGTGGAAAAAACAATCCTTTATCTCTATGCCAAGAGTACAGCCAAATGGAGCATGACCTATATAACATTTAGTGTGCATAATTATCTTAAATGTGTCTAAAATTCTTTGCAGAGAAATAGCTACACCTGTACCTAGATTTACTCATGAAGGGCAAGTCTCCTAACACTATAATGGCATGAGAATCGGACAGTTTAGAATTAGATTATGCATACATCTGCCACTATTTGAGGGAAATAAATGCTTTAACAATATGCTGTCATGGTTTATAGATTCTTTGCATCTGCCAAATTCATTCAAGGTTACTGGTAGCCATTTTGGATTAATAATGGATAAGCACTGGAAGCAGGAAAAGAAAAAACCCACTCAGTTAACTCACTAAACAAGAACATCAGAATTATGTTCCTTAAGCTTAGACACAAACCCAGAACAAATTAAAGCCTTAAAAGGCATATTCGCATGGCTTGATGCTGGCAGGCATCTTAAATTGGATGAATTCATTAACTGAGCCTCACACCCAAACTGGACTTGTTTTCTCCTCCTCCTTTAGGCATTGGGGTCTTGATTCAATATAAATGGTCACACCAAGTAACTATTACTTATCCTCCCTCACATTAAGTCACATTTTTTAAATAACAGTAGTATTGTTTCCCCAACATGAACATGAAAGTTGAGAAAACTCTAGTAACAAATTAGTATAAAATATCCATCAAAATTCCTTGTTGTTCCTAGTTAGAACAACTTAGTTCTTTAAAAAATAGTTTAGAAGATTGCTTTCAGCTCGAAAACATGAAATTGTCATTTCACATTTTGTACAAAATTTTGTAAAAAATTTTCACCACAAACTCTGGTCAGTTAAAGATGAAGATATTCCCTTCAGTTTTGCATACTTTCTGGGTCAGAGGCCAGTCCCCTGCTACTGATGTGGCTGCTGGCAAACTGATCATAACCCACTCAGAAGTCGTTACTTTCTGCCCCACAAAATGTGGGACCCCTGCAGGATACTCTGGGCAATCTGGTGGTTGCATCAGAGGAGAAAGCGGACCTCTTTAACCAATTCTTCACCTCCGTTTTCTTGTGCAGGGACCGGGACTTCCCTGCTGTGATAGAAGCTGGACTCGAGGGGTTCGCCTTCAGACCTCAGGTTGGGGAGGACCGGGTTAGAGAGCTTCTGGAGGGGCTGGACGCGTTCAAGTCAGCGGGTCCGGATGCTCTCCACCCCAGGGTGTTGAGGGAGCTAGCTGGGGTTATTGCAGGGCCCCTGGCACGGCTCTATGAGTGATCGTGGTGCTTGGGCCAGGTGCCAGATGATTGGAAGGTAGCAAATGTGGTCCCCATCTTCAAGAAGGGGAAGAGGGAGGACCCGGGCAACTATAGGCCCGTCAGTCTTACCTCAATCCTGGGGAAACTCTTTGAGAAGATCATCAAGGAGCACATTTGTGAGGGGCCGGCATCAGAAATGATGCTCAGGGGCAATCAGCATGGATTTATTAGGGGGAGATCATGTCAGACCAACCTGATTGCCTTCTACGATCAGGTCACAAAGGCCATGGATGCAGGTGTCGCGGTGGATGTAGTCTTTCTGGACTTCAGCAAGGCCTTTGACACCGTCTCTCACCCCATCCTAGTTAAAAAACTAGGCGACTGTGGCATAGATGCCTACACAGTCAGATGGATTGCAGATTGGCTGAGGGGTCGCACTCAGAGGGTGGTGGTGGATGGGTCATACTCGACCTGGGGGGAGGTGGGTAGCGGAGTCCCCCAGGGCTCGGTCCTGGGGCCTGCGCTGTTCAATTTCTTCATCAGCGATCTGGATGATGGGGTGGAAAGTAACCTGTTTAAATTCGCTGATGACACCAAAATTTGGGGGGAGGTGAGCACGCTAGCAGGGAGGGAGAGATTGCAGAGGGATCTGGATAGGTTACAGGGGTGGGCTAACAGGAACAGGATGCGTTTTAATACGGACAAGTGCAGGGTGCTGCACTTGGGCAGTAGGAACCAGCAGCACACTTACACAATGGGGAACTCCCTACTCGAGAGCACGGAGGCAGAAAGAGATCTTGGAGTCATTATTGACTCCAAGATGAACATGGGCCGACAATGCGAGGTCATGGTTGGCAGGGCTAACCGGACCTTGTCGTGCATCCACAGGTGCATCTCGAGTAGAGCCAAGGAGGTGATCCTCCCCCTCTACGCGACGCTGGTCAGGCCACAGCTGGAGTATTGTGTCCAGTTCTGTGCGCCCCATTTCAAGAGGGATGTGGACAACATGGAGAGGGTCCAGAGGAGGGCCACCCGCATGATCCAGGGACAACAGGGCAGACTCTACAGTGAGAGACTGCGGGACCTGAACCTATTCAGCCTCCACAAGAGAAGGCTGAGGGGGGACCTGGTGACCGTCTATAGACTCACTAGGGGGGACCAGAAGGGTTTGGGGGAGACGCTGTTTCCCCTAGCGCCCGCTGGCATAACAAGGAGTAATGGGCACAAGTTGATGGAGAGGAGGTATAGATTGGACATCCGCAAAAACTACTTCACAGTTAGGGCGGCTAGGAGCTGGAACCAACTTCCAAGGGAAGTGGTGCTGGCCCCTACCCTGGGGGTCTTTAAGAAGAGGCTGGATGCCTACCTGGCTGGACTCATTTGAGTCCCGTTTCTTGTTTTGGGGTTTTGTTGTTCTCCCGCCTTGGTGGGGGGTTGGGCTAGAAGATCTACTAGGTCCCTTCCGACCCTAAATCTATGAAACTATGAAACTATGAAAACTCACTGCTCTGATGGTTCAGAAGGTTGTCATTTCCAGCCCCCACTTAGTTGTGACCAGTTTATATCAACCAAGTTCCATTCCTTAATTAACCTGACTACAAAAGAACTACTGTCATATTAAAGAAACCCCTAGCCATAAATCAAAAAAAATCCCAACAACCAGAAAGAAACTTAGGAGTCGAGGTCCACCTTTGCTGAAATGTTTCCAATCAATCAAGATGCTTTAGTTTCTGCAGAATATATTCTGTGTCAAACTACTGCCTGGTAACTATACTCTCTTTAAAACTATCCAAAGTGCTCAAATTCATGGAAATTCTTGGCACATGAAACAAGCTTTTCATACATTTTATATAAAACACTTTTCCTACTTAGCACCAGATGCAGGTCAGGAATGAGCGGCACCCCATTTCTCTGCCACCGCCTCCATCCCTGCCTGAGCTGAAGCAGGGCCTTGCCCTGGGATGCCATGATAGCATCCACCCCCAACCTCAGTGCCCTGGGTGGTAGCCCTTGCTGCCCACCCTTAGGCAGGCTCTGGCTGCAGGTCATGCTGGCAGAGCTGGCGGTGGCAGGGCACTGGGGTGCAGGTCACACTGGCAGGGCTGTGGCTTGGGAGGGGCAACAGCATAGGGCTGCTCAGTGTCACAAAGCAGGGAGCACAGAGTAGGAAACAAAAAGAGCAGCAGGTGACAGGAAGAGGACTGGAGTGGCAATTGGTGAGGGTGCTGAGCTGTCATATTTACTTGATCTAAGACTAACCTGAATGTAAGACTCTCTCTTCCCATTAGTTAGATTCCACAAAAGGAAAAAATTTGGTACCCATCTCACACTAGCACCTGGCACTGAGGCAACTGCTTTGAGAAACTCAGCACTTGCTGGCCAGAAA